TAGCACTGGCTAGTTGTTGTTTTAAATCTTTATTCTGCTGTTCCAATCTGCCAACATAACTCTGTGCCATTATTTCTGTTATGGTTGGGGTTTTAACTGGTTCATCTTTCCTTAAATTACAAAAACAATCTATCCTGTTTCTCATAGCTCGACTACAATCATTGTATCATCAAGAGCTTTTTGTTTCCGAAATTTGCAAGAAACATAATAAAATGTGTAATTTTTATATATAATATCAAAATTTATAAATAAAAAACTTTTGTCACACAGAAAAAAAGGGGTTACCATAAAAAAATCTGCACATATTAATATAGATTTATCTTATTAATTAGATTTGTCAATCAACCAATATCGAATACCCCAACGCGTTTTGTATAAATTCTCTTCTTTTTTAAAAAAATGTCATATCGTCCAAATATTAGGAAAAAAGACAGCAATCGAGAGAAATATTACAAGTGTCATTTATCATTAAATGGTGGTGGTTATCGCCACCGCTAGTTGAAATTAAAGAGTAAGTGTTATTTATTTTTATTTGATACTTTATATTTTAGACAGCAGTTTTCCGAATGGTTCAATGCAGAAGAATTAGTTGATAATCTTAAGAAGTTTTACCCACAGCCACCATCAGTCCCACTAAACACAAAAGAAATATTTGATCATTTAAAAATTTTATACGATGATGACAACTATATAGAGGTTATAGACATTAGTTTTTTAACAATTTTTCTGTTTATCGTTTTACATACATTTTTTCAATTTAACATGTTTATATGTATTTTTTTAAAAGCTGGAAGATAATATTGATTTGATAACGACGATAACCAAATAATCATTGATGGTATAATTATTTATCTTTAGATTGGCAAAAAGGTCCAATTACTCATCTTGGCGTATGATTTAACCAATAATCATAGTACCGTAAAGTCTGGAAAGATAGCATCCCCTTTTTTACATATGTGTAACAATTTTTTTATATTGACGCTCAATTGTTTTAAAGTAGGGGGTGCTATCTTTCCAGACTTTACGGTAACAACGACAATAACGATAATAGTGATGTCGATACCAATAATAGTAATGGCCCACCAAATTCATCACAAGGTATGTAACCTATTATCAATTAATCTTTTATTCTTTAAAAATATTATTGTTTTTTTTCTCTATTATCAATAATAAAACAATATATAATCTTTGATCATAATAAAGAAAACATAAGAAGAAGAACTAGAATCAATTATCGCGATACTATCAAAGGGATAACTAAACCATCGATTAAAAGACTTGCTCGTAGGGGTGGGGTGAAACGCATTTCTGGTCTGTTATATGAAGATACTCGTGGGTTGTTAAAAAAATTTCTTGAATATGTACCCAGAGTATGTAACAATTAATTACATTATAATTTATAGGCATTGATAACAATTTTACATTTTTTTTTTTTAGGATACAATCATTTATATGGAGAATGGTAAACGCAGAACAGTCACATATATGGATGTAGGTGAGTTGGTTCACAATGTATTATTATAATGTATAATATACGTTGTATACTCTTTGCTTATATTATTGCATATATTTCTTTAACAGTTTACGCATTGAAGAGACAAGGAAAACTTTGTTATGGATTTGGCAAATAAAAGTTTATTAAAATTGATTAATATATTTCCTTATTGTAATGTCTTTTCATTTTATTGCTGTATTAAAAATTATTATTATGTAAATTCCTTCTGTGATAATAAAAATTAATTTTAATATGAAATGCTTTTACCATTGCTTTTAAGTCACGTGGTCACATGATTTCAACAGTATTCTTGTTTTCTTGACAATTTATTATTCATTTAATTAATTATCATTAATACTTTGTTAATGGTCTTCCTACAAGGAACAAAATGTCTAATCAAATAAGAATACAGTTGTGATGTTGGACAAACATTATTGATCCCTGAAATCCTTGGTAATACCAATGTTCACTTTGTCTGGTTTTATTGCAGTATGCCCCATATTTGAAATCTTACTTTTCATATATAAGCAAGCCACTTTTCTTTTTTTCCGATTCATTATTTTCAGCGCAAATAAATCCAAGTTTTAAACTAATTGCCTATCCTTACATTCTTTCCCTCGTTCTAAATCTAAATTACTTTCCCATACATTATATCCATTATATTCATCATTGTCCCATTCATCTTCTTTTAGCTTAACTTCTTTTATATCATTACCCATAAATGTTTAAGAATTACTTGCTTCTATTTTTGATTTTTTTACAAGACGCGCCGTGTTAAATATTATGTGTCACAAAAAACCGAGTATTCCTATTGGACAAATAACAAGTTTGTTTACTGTAAAATTTTGCAAAATGCCCATTTTTAAACTTGTCAACACAAAAGGTAAAACCGATAAATCGAAAGAGTATTCCTCAATTTATCGGTTTATTTTTTTGATGACTCTGGATGATCGGTACCATACTGATTTTTGTGATTATTTTTTGGCATTTTTATATTCTCCTGATTCATTCACATGTATCTGCTGTATATTATATAAAATTTTTCCGTAGAGGTTGTCATTTGTATAATAATAATACGATTCATATAGTTGCACTCAGAAGGGTATTAACTATAAAATGTTGTTATAATAAATATTAATACATTTGAATGAGCGAGTACATTGTATACGGTCGATCTCGTGATGAAATTACATCAAAAGTTCTTGTGGGGGCGGGGTCTATAAAAATCTCAGGTAAACCCTAAATTATCCATCATATCTTTTTAAGAAAGAAGCCACCAATCAAAAGTAGTAATTAAGTAAACTTTAAAAAACTGATGATGATTTATTTGTTGATTTAAGAAATTAATTAATCAATTGATTGTTGTAAATGCTTGTGATTTTTAATAAAAAAATTTTTTTTTTGAGATTTAGTAAATGTTTAAAATTTTAAATTGCAATTATATTAATATCCACATCCCATACTTACTTATAAATATATTATTGTGGTGATTAATTGGGAGATTGAGGGAAAATAATTATAGTTTAAACTTTTTAACCAAACTTTTAATTTTTTCCAAAAAAGCTTGTTATTTAATCTTGAAAAAATTTTCAGATCCTAGATGGTTTGAAGATATAATGATTTATTTGTGTGACTCAAACAGTGCGAGTATCAATTAGAACCTTCTTCTTAACCCGGGATCTATCGGAATAGCAATTATTATTTTGATGATTATATAATTTAATAATAATAATAATAACTATTTATTTAATTTAAAAATTCCAAGACAAAATTATTATATGTTGGCAAAGTGATAGTTAACAACACTGACTAATTAACACACCACGATATTATAATAAATTGATGCTAAAAAAAAAAAATGCGATTGGATGCAATGTACTGATTGGTTAAAATATCAACATCATTTATATTAAAAAAAAGATTTTACCAACTTCGCCACGTATCACACGTATTAATCTGAAAAGAGTTAAGATTAGTATTAAAATATAGTGGCAATAACCTAATTAATATATTACAACATACCACTTACTAATTATATATTATATCAACACGCACTTTATACTAACTTTTCTCAACATCAGCAAACGTCATCATCATTCATCGTCATCATATAATCATCATAATAAACAATAATAAATTAGTTTAGTAGTGGGTAAAGTGAGTCGGTCAATTAGTCAGTAATGCAATTGGTGTGTGTGTGTGTGTATGTGAGGCGATTATATTTTACATAAAAGCTTTTTATTTTTTTTTTTTTGATTAAAAAAATTTTTTTTAATTTTTATTTATTCTTCTTTTACGTACGTATTCTGATTATTCTGGTTATTGTAATTATTCTTAAACTGGGGTTTAGTTGTTGTGACGACGTTGGCTGAGCAAAACATCTCTCTTTTCTTCCTCTTTTTGTACTATAATAAAGTCATAGTAAACTAACAGCTTAGAGGGGTTTCATTACTTCGCCTTATAAAAAGATTTTTCTCTTTTTAAATAATTAAAAAAAAAACTTTACTTTTTTTTAACGCGGTAACTTTTTTATTTTTATTTTATTTTTAAATCCTTGGGAAAGAAAGAGGAGTTGCTTTTATAATTTTTACTTTGTATATTTTTTTTTATATATATATATTTTTTAGCAAGTCAAGTTTATTAATTAATTAATTAATAATCATATAAATAAATAATTTATAATTATTATTATTAAAAATTTTTTTTAATTCTTATTGATAAAAAAAATTTTTTTTTTCTTCTAAAAAATTTTTTCTTTTTCTTTTTCTTTTTCTCTTTTTTCTTCAACACTCTTCCTCTTTGCTTTCTATTGTAACACTTTCTATTTGATCCAGTATTATAATCTTTTAAATTCTAACGTGTAATTTTAATTAGTTAGTTTTTTAAGTATAACAGTGTATACGTATATATTTATATATATATATCTTTAATTAGTATATTATATACCTTTCATTTAAAAAAAGAAGATAAAAGAACAAAAAAAAATGGTTAGTCCTTCAACTGCTCAACCTGATTCAAGTAACATTGTTGGTTCAAATGTTGGTAACGTTAATCTGATCAAGGCTTCAAGCAATAAATTGAAAACTACTGATGATTCAGCAACGACAACAACGACCACAACAACAACTACTACTACTACAATGCCAGTCATTTCAACCTTGGAAGAGTCTAACAATATCAATAATGGTTATACTAGTAGTTCTAGTAGTTCTAGTATCATTGATGATAATAACATTAATAATGAAAATAATAATAATGGTAAACTTAGTATTAATACTATTAATAACGACGAAAAGCAAATTGATAATAATTATGATGAAAATAAAACCACCTCTTCACCAGGGAGCGACACTTCAACAAGGAAAACTCCATCATCTACACCTACACAGCCTACTTTTAATGTATGGCAAGTTAGACAAGAAGCGATGAATTCCAAAAAAGCTCCAGAATTGCTTAATGGAAATAAGGATACCAATATTAATAATGGAAACAATGGAAATTATGTTTATAGCCATAACAATATTAATAATGGAATCAATTACAATGGCAATTATAATAACAATTACAATTATTATTATAATTATAAAAGGTCTGATAAACCAAACTACTTTTCACAAAATAGTTCTCCTGAAGGTATGTAAATGTCATTCCGATTCATTCCCTTTATAACGAAATGCACATTGTTATTAATCTTCATTTATTACCATTTTTGTTTTCGGAAAAAAAAAAAAAGATTCCAGAAGATATTATAAAAAAGATTCTAGGAGGAGTAAACCATTATCACAGCCTATTCCTGCTCCCATAATACCTCCATTAGAGGATCAAAATAGTTGGCCTGCTCCTGCCGAAGTCCTAATTAAAGACAAGGAAAAAGAAGTCAATAGTGAATCTTCTGAGAAAAAACAATCTTTACCAAATGAATTAGGATTAAAGAAAGAAGAAAGTCCTAAAAAAGGTTTTTTATCTCTTTTCCCCCTCACTCTTTCTCTTCTTCATCTTCATCTTCAGCATCATTATTAGCATTTTTTTCTTTTTAATTAATTTAAAATTTTACTCAACAAATGGTATGTAGGTAAAGGCAAATGGATTCCTTACGAAGAACTAACTATCACCCATAATCCGCCTTTACCTGGTCATGATAGACCAAAAACAAGACGCCGAAGTGAAGATCATGCTGGTTACAGGGATCGTAGATCAAGTGAAAAGACTCCAAGCCCTGAAGCAAGATACCAATCTTCATCATCTTCGTCTCCACATTACCAACAACATCAAAATCAAAGTCAATACTATCAAAATCAACAAAGCCTACAGCAGCAGCAACCACAACATATTAATAATAGTAACGGTAATGGTAGCAGCAGTAGCAGCAGCAGTAGCAGTAGTCAGAATAATACTAACAATAACCAGAGTAAACGTCGTGCCAGCGTGCCACCTCCATTAAGAGACAATGGCCGTCGTTATTTTAATTACAACGAAAACAATCAAAATGGTAATCATATATCTTATAATGGTAGTAGTTCCTATCGCGGTTCTAGAAGGGGTGGAAGAGGTCGTTCATATAATGGCCAACGGGGAATTTCTCGATCAGCATCATTTTCATACACCACGCCAATCTATAATCATCAAAATTACGGAAATTTTTATGGAACAAAGATTGGCGTAATATATGATATTGAAATCTTAAAATTTTATGTCTTACAACAAATGTGTGTGATTTTCATATGATATTTTGATAATATAAATTATTATTTAAATATTATATATATATATATATATTAACGATATTAAATATTTATTTTTTGCATGTATGGTTCATAGCGAGTACTACTTTAGTATTGAAAATCTATGTAAAGACATTTATTTACGAAATAATGTAAATTTTCATTATTATTATAATTTATTATATTTCTAATTAACATATGATTGTATTTTATTAATGACTTAATCAAAAAAAAAATTTCCTATTTATAGATGGATTCTGAAGGTTATGTAGATATATCATTATTAGCAGGTTTCAATCGCGTGAAAGCTTTAACGTTGGAGGAAGAAATCATTCGTGAAGTATGTTTTGTAATTTTTTTTAATAATAATTAATAATATATATTTGTATTTCTAAAATTTTTTTGCACAATTTCAAGGCACTTCTTAACAGTCATATAGTTGAAGTTAAAGGTGATAAAGTTAGAAAACGTGACGAATGGGGATTCTGGTTATTGCCTAAACAAGTTCGTACTTTTAATTGATATTTTTAACTTTCTTCATAATGAAAAATTTTTAATTAAAATCTTTCATTTTTAGGGAGATAATCTAGCAACCGAAAACAATATTAATGATACTAATGATAATAACAGTTGCAGTAGCAGTAATGGAAGTAACGACAGCAACAATACTATAAACAGTAGCAATAGTAGCACCAGTAATAATATTAGTAATGATTATGAAATCGACCAATCAAAATCACCAGTTAGCAACAACGATCCCCAAAATAATATCAACGTCATTCCTTACGACAATTACAGTGATCTACGTGGTGATAATATCGCATTAAAAAATAATGTAAATGGCGAACTAATAAACAGCACTAGTAACAAAAATAATGGCAATGACAATAATAATGGCACTTATATAGCTAATGATTATAACATTAATATATCATCGCCGTCATTATCACCATCATCACCATTACCAGTAACAATCAATGAAGAGATCAATAATGAAAATATCGAAATTACCACTTAAATAAATCATTTCTAAGTAAAAAGTTTCTTCAACAAAAATATTTTTATATATTTTTTATTATATATAAGAAAATAAATTGAATTTATTCTATTCTATTTAATTTTCATTTCAAAAATTCAAAAACTTTAAAAAAAATCAGCAGAAAGAAATTCAAAATTAAAAATCAAAAAAAAAAATTATTATTATATTTTTAGTACTTAGAATTAATATATTAGTAATATAGTAATAGTAATAATATAATTTTATTATTATTAATTTTTCTTTTTTTTTTTTTTTTCTTTTTTAATTTTTAATTTTTAATGAATTGTTGCTAATATAATATAATTTTTCATAATAGCTAGAAATCAAAAAAAAAAAAAAAATTCTATTATTTTCCTTTATTATTATTAAAGCTTTTTTTTTTTTTTTTTACAATCAACTGCAACTACAATTTATAAATACACTATATATATACATATCATATTACACATATACCACAAAAACTATAATTTTTTTTTACTATCATCCATTCTTCAAATCCATTCTTCAAATCCATTCTTCAATCCATTCTTCAATCTATTAATTATTCACCATCATCTATTTGCTGCTATTTCTATTATATTATCCATCACCCATCATTGATTTGACAAAAAAATTATAGAATATATATATTTTTATTTCTTTTATTTCTCTTTTAAAAAAAATCAAAATTATCAATTATTATTTTACTATATATATAGCTAATAAAAAAAATTTCTTTATTTTATAGTTTATATATTATATATAGATATGAATTTTTTTTTTCCTGTTTATTATTATTTTATATTTATGATATTTTTTTTTAATTTTTTTTTTTTTTTTTGTGGTGGTTTAGCTTTTATTTGTAACACTTATCAAAATAATGAATTATCAGTTGTTCTTGATTAATAAAAAGATTTTTTAATTAATTGGGCAATATTTTTCGAGCTAGTGCTTTAACAAGTGGAGCATCATATAATGAATGACCAATTGTTTTGTTAAATCTCCCTGACCAGGAGAGAGAGATAGACTCCATTGGATTTTTGATATTGAGAGTGTTATTGTCCAGTATGTAAGTTCTTGGGAGAAGGATGGTAAAGTGGAAAGTGGAATGAGAAGTCAAGAACAATCTTGATGCACCAGCAATAACAATGGCAGTTGCTGAATTAGGATCCTGAGGATTTATAACGTAGCCACACTTGAATAAAATACATGACGATGGATGGATTGATACATTCAACAGAACCATGTACTTTGACACTAACGATCTCTTCATTGATAATTCTATGAAATTGCACAAGTATAACCTGTTGAAAACGTCACACAAGCTTGTGAGGATCAATATTAATTAGTCATTCCAACAGTGCAATATCTTCTATGACGTTTCTTCATCTTACCACCACCTCTACAAGCATGCCTTTATATAGAGATCAAATTGGTTAAAATTGTAAAATTAATTCTATTTTCATGGTCCTCCAAAAACCTTTCTCTAGTTGATATGTCACGTTACCATGGAGGAACACATTTGAAATTTTCTTTTATTTTTATCATTTCTATAAATCACAACTTTTTATCACCTTTCTAAAAAGTATAGAACTCACAAACTAGTGATCCAAATTTAAACTCTTTCTATTAAATGAAAGTTCAAAGGAGCTAATAGAACCCTTCTTCAAACATTTATTGGATCACGAGTTCTATTCATTTAAAGTTTATGAAATTTACCAAAATTTGGCGCATTTTTGGCTAAAAATTATGAAATCATTAGCGCCGATCTTTAATTTTTACCAGCACTATGTATACATTTATTTCCTTCACTACTAATATTGATTTTTAAAATTTTTGTCTCTCGGTATTTTTCACTAACGAAATATGCCTCTTAAAAAGTAGCCATTTCAGCTTGTGAAAGTAAAAACGCAAAAAAAAAAATAAAATCATCCCAATTAAATAAATTCGCAGATATGCAGGTCAAAGAAGTTTATGGATGCATATCAAAAAAGTTTGATAGGATTGGAAGCTGCAATTCAGTTGTGACTATTACTATTTTAAATCAAAAAAAAATGCTTACGTAAGATTCAAAACTTGGCTCCAGCGCTATATAATAATACAATTCTTTAAAATCATTAAAAACTTTTTTATGATCGCGTAGCAATTATTTAATCATTTAAAATCATTTTAAATAAATATAAAGTTGTGTGTCTTAAATACTATTATATAATAATTATTGTTTAACATAGAATAGATAAACCAATAGTAAAGAAATTATTAGACCTTGATAAAGGAATATCTAGTTATAAAATTATTTTTTTACTCGAAACAAACACAAAGGATCTAATTAAAAATCATTTATCAACCAAAGAATGAATAAAGTTTGTATTTTTATTTTGATTGAAAGCATGTTAGGAAATTTACATAATAACAATATCAGAAATACAATAATTATTTATAGGTCGAAGATAAGATTCGTAAGTCTTGGGTTTAGCACACCCGAGAGTATACAAAATTGTTAAAGACTTATGAAGAAGTAATCAACAGGGATTCAAATTAATTGTAAATAAAGACCATTTTCAATGAATCGAACATTCCTCAGATATATTCCAAAGGGATTGATTGGCCTTTACAATGGGCCCAGCTTATATATATTGCTTTGTAAGGATATTATATTTGATGAGTATTTTTTTTTATTAATAATTTTATCATTTACTAACCTTCAATATATCTTGTGTGTTTAATTTAATCTAGAATTCCGGTTATTAAAAGCACGGCGTCGAAGTCTGCAACTTTAATTTAATATCAAAAAATTATTTAAAGATAGATTTAAATTTAGATTTAGATTTACAGGCAAGCATGTTTCAACATTTCAAAAATGCAAATATTCATATCGTGATCGCATCATAAATCGAATTGGTTATACTAACATATTTATATTATAGACAGAGGCGAAATCATCGCAAAGATCAGAGGATTCTTCTGGAAATGGACCGGGTCTATTGAGACTAGTGATATCAGCCTTTAATATTGAAAAAACCTTAGCCAGTTAAGAACTTGTATAAATTTTTTTTACCTTGGATAAATAGTATATATTTATATGAATTACCAAAAAAATTTATTGTTTTTAAATAATAATAAACAGCTTTTAAACAAAGAATATTATGAATACTATTTTACTAAGTTATTTTTTTTTCTTTGTAAATACATTTTTAGCTGAAAACAATCCAAGTAAATCCTTACTTGCGCAGCCAAACTACTTTTTTTTGATTCCACCAAACAAGTGGATCTTTTTCCAATAAAATTTTTATTTGTATACACATGTTTGTACCTAATATTAAATAAAAGTTAGCCAATAAAATTGTCAACTGTTTGATAACAAAAAGTCTTGTCTATCTTTTATTTGATTATCATCAAAAACAATGATAAGGTTGACTTTTGAGAAATTCCAGAAAAAAAATTGTTTTACAAAAAAGAAAATCAGCCGGATCGAACCTTACGAGATTCATATTGGCTTTGACGAAAAAATTGGTTTGCAAGCTCCAGTTATTTCATTCCTTTTATATGCAAGCGGTTAGATTTTGGTTGTATGTAATAAATCATATTCTATAAAAATCTGGCATACAAGTGGTATTATGAAAATTTTCGTTGGATTTTGGATTTGCTTAGTTTTTTGGGCTTTAGAGACAATAAAAAACAGTTTGAATGCAATTAAAATTTTAAAGGGTTCTATAGCCTCTATAACCGGCTTCTGACATGCAAACATCTTTGGCTAGATTTTCGTTATGTTTTACATCGACAACGATGAGGCAGACACATTTCATGCACCACTCGAGTGACGAAATGTACACGCATAGAAAATTCAGGTAGCTTTTAATGCTTTAGAAAAAGCCAGACACACACAGACCATATAGGTGTTTGTTCCAACCCCCCCCCCCAGAATGGCATTGTGTGATATCAGGATTATTTTTTGTTGCTGGCTGAGCCACAAATCCCATGAAAAGGATAAAGAAACTTTGTATTTGGTTGAGGAATATTCAAAGAAAATTAACATTGCGGTAAAGAATTATTTATAATTGCTCGATTTATCAATGATATTAATTTTGCTGGTTCTCCTCCATATTCGATTATACTAATTTCATACTTGGCAGGGTCTAGTTTAGATGCCATATAAAAGTAAAGCCCATCTTCTGGATATTCAAGCTTTAGTATATATAATCTTAAAGTTTTTTGAACACTTGCAACTAATCTTGTTTAATGAAACGTTACCAAAGTTGTAAAACTATTACGTCAAAGTCACTGTCATCGAGTCAAAAATGACATAAGTAAAATTGCTTTAAAGGCTAATAAAATATAAACTCGCCAAAAAAAACTTATAAATATATATATTCCAAGGTTTTTTTTTCTTGTGTATCCCACCCAATCTCTCCTTTGTTTCATCAGTTGTTCCCAAAGGAGCTAAATTTTTCTTTTGCTGAATACAAATTCAGTTCCCACACACTCATTTACTACTATACTCGAACATTTCTTATATTAATATTAATAACGTGATGCATGATCGGGGTAGATGAAATCATTGATTTAGGGATTCTGAAATTTGAACCTAAATGGGGCAATTACTGCAAGCCAGCATAGAAACATATGAATTCGGTACTTTATGTTCCAGGTCAACTAATTAGTGTATTAGTATAATTAAATTACTGCGTAAATAATTATTGGAAGTTTTGTAATAATAAACCTTTAATTTTCCATTTTTATTATCAACGAAAATTTCATTAATATAACTTCAGGTCTTCGCTTGATCGCAGAGGAAATTAATCGATAATTAATAATGTGATAAAATAAAACTCTGTGATAGAATCATCATTTTTAATAAGCTTTTAAAATAAAATAAAAATAATAAAGTAGTTTTTTTATTCTCTTTGTTTAAACGTTTTGATAAAAGCAACAAGTGTATCTCCTTGGTAAAAAGTAACAATTATGGAACTTTGGTAAAAAGCCACATTTTATTTGCTTTA